CAGTTGGTTGGTAACATTTCTTGGACGGGTTTGAACTATATTTTTCATGAGGCTAAACGAGCTGATAATGTAGGCCCTGATAATGCAAAGTGTGGACGAACTATTGTGAAAACATATGGTCTCCCATGTGCTTGTCTTATTGCTAAAAACGTGAAACTTGGTGAACCAATAACAATGGACGAGGTTTGCACTCATTGGAAGAGACTTAGGTTTGATGATGATGGATGCTTGGATGATGGTAAATCTAATATCTCTATTTTGACCGAATAAGAAGTGATACAAGAGAGACTTTTGAAGGCCGATGACAACATGAAATTTCACATCAATGAACAATTGAGGAAGATTTCCTATCTCGAAACCACCGACATGAAGCCACCTTCTCAACGGATAAAAACAAAAGGTGCTCCGAAGAAAATGTAGCCTACACCGAATGACAACTTGACTACATGATCTCCTTCATATTTTAAACATGTTGACAAAGTTTTTCCCGACTCACTGACTCCAAAATCTAAAAAAAAAGTATTGTGAAAGGAGTCCGCATTAGCAAACCACCTTCGATGCCGCTTCAACCGAAGATTCCATTCATCGACAAGATGTCGATTTTTATGCACAAATATATCAAGTGGGTCGTTAATATTGTGGGGGATGACTATTGCGATTACCGAGCCATTTTGACTTTACTCAATAAAGGAGAAGATAGTCATACACTTTTCAGACATCAACGAATCCAAGAGTTAAAGACGCATAAAGAATCATACACACAGTTTTACGAAAAGAAAGAAAATTTCAATGCGGTTTATGAGTCTCTTGTTCCTTGATTGAGAGGTCTGACACCGAAGGAAAAACGAATGTGCTTCCATAAAATGGTTCACCTAATAGCATGTGCGTATGATAGAGTGTGTGTTGACCTGACACGCTACGGTTTTTCAAAATCTTTTTCCCACTGCGTGTCGCACCACCCCAAAGTCCAAATGATCAAATCATGTGTATTAGGTGGCTTTCTAAATCAATTAATTTAGTTCAAGTTTACTTGAAACCGAGATGCCCTATACCACTTACATCACCGAAGTGGACGACTTAGTCAACCACAAAAGCTGAGACTTGGCCATATCATTTTAAGGAAAGAATGTAAGAATTCGAGAGATTGAACAACATTGAAAAAGAATCAGACGCACAAAAGTCCAAGGGGGTATCACCTATAGATTTAGTCGGCGAAACATGTTTCGATTCATTTTAATTTCTTGTTTAACCGGATAAGTAATTGTATGTAATTGTGTATCAATATAAATAAAGTGTTATATATTCACCTTTTGTTCATATTTTGTCTATGCATTTTTTATCTACCCCATAACAACATGTGTGTTTTTGTCAATGAAAAAAAAAACTGTTATGTTTTAGTGTTTTGGTGTGATACTGGTTCAGGAGAATTTTCAGAGATAACATATCTGAAACAAGATTATAGGGTGCATTTCCGGAGATATATCTCCGGAATTAATGTGTCAGTTAATGAGTTATCCAAATTGATCTTTGCCTTCTATAAATTTAGGTGCTCTAATGTTATATTTCACACAAACTTAAAATGTCTCAAATGTCACAAATAAACATCTATTGGTATGTCGCAAATGTATCCTTCTCCGGCCTTATACCCGGGAAAACGTTCAAGCTCACCGACTTCACCTCCCTCAAAGATATCAAAGACGAAATCCACCATCTCCATTCTTACATATACAATTGAAAGATTATGAAGCTCGAGTACCGTTCACTTTTGATTGACAATGAAGGGAACATTGAGTTCAACAAATTTGAGCTCGAGACGCAAGCAGATGTTAGGGTTGTGTGACATACGTATTTCGATTTCAAAGAGAAACTTCATTTCGAGTTGGAAGCGACGCTACAAAGATCGGTCGAAGATATTCTAAAGATGTGAAAGCGTCCACCGGGATATTGAAATGTAATATTGGATGTTATGTTGAAATCGTCTTTGTAATGTTCATTTTATGTTACGGATGTCAATTTCATTTTGGAAAATTACTTTTCTGTTCTGGTGTGCCTCTGGAGATGTAACTACAGAATTATTCCAGAGATACATCTCTGAAATAAATTGAACCAAAAGAAAGGGTGTAATTCAGAATGACCTTTGTTAAGTGTGTGCTGGGGTGCATCCGGAGGTGTATCTTTAGAAACACGAGCATTTGAAGAAATTCACATGGTGCATTAGAAACATCTAGGGTGCAATAAGAAATTTCCCTTATTTTTGGTATGGCCTAGCCTTTTTAAAAGCCTGGGCTGAAAGCCTTTTTAAAAGCCTATTTCTTATTAAGGTTTTCAATTAATTCATATTACTTAAGAAGTATTATACGTCGGTTTATATATGCATATGTAGGCCAATCTATTTAACATTTTTTCCTAATATTTATTCATATATAGGTCAGCATATTTAGATTATTTTTAATATATATAAAAATATAGGTCGGCCTATAAAGTTTCATAGGCTTTTTTAATAGCCTAAGTCTGACATATTTAATTAAATAGGCTTTTAAAAAAGAGTTTAATTGGTATGCACTGACGGTGTAAAATAATTTTATGCTATCATCCAATAGAAATTTATCAATTTGTCATGTCATACCATTAACTTAAAATTTACAGTCTGATATGGCGAGATACATGAGGGTGATTGGTTGACAGTGTAAAATAATTTTACACTGTTAGTGCATACCAATTAAATTCTTTAAAAAAAATTAAACTTGACTTTTTTATTAAATAAATCTAGTCTGACCTAACCTTAAATAAGTTAGGTTATAAATCCTTATAAGTCAATCTGACATATCCCCATCCCTATTTTGAAGTCAGGGAAAAGAGATTTTAAAGTCATGGAGAAGAGAATTTATACAGATATTTTCCATAAATATTATGACATTTTCCCAACAATACTATAGTCATTTAACATTTGATAATTTCTTATCCCACCCCTTGGCATTCTTAGGCACCATACGCTCTGTCTAAAATACCCCATAATTTATGAGATGTATCTCTGGACGCACCTTTTTTCAACTTTTTTTAATTAATTCCATATATGCATCTACGAAATATTTCCATATGCGTATTTACGGAAGAAAACCAGAAACAGAATATCAGAAAATCAACATTGCAATGATAAAATCAACATTCATAAAATAAAATCGGTATTAGATTGATGATTTCGACAAAAATTTAAATACTACATTTCAATAGTCCGGTGGACGCTTGCACATCTTTAAGATGTCATCGACCGTTCTTCGGACCGTCGCCTCCAACTCGAGTGAAATTTTCTCTTCAAAACCGAAATACGTTCGCCACATCGCCCTAACATCGTCTTGATTCTTGAGCTCAAATTTGTTGTAAACAATGTTCCCTTCGTTGTCAACTGAAGGTGAACGATACTCAAGCTTCACAATCTTTCGTTTGTCATTGTAAGGTAGGCGATATTGGATCTCGTCTATGATATCAGCGAGGGGGTGAGATCCATGAGCTTGAACGTCCTCCCGAGTGTTTTGTCGTCGAAAAAGGAGACACTTGCGACATACCGACAAATCTTGATTTCACACAATCGAGACATTTTTGTATTTGTATTATCGGGGTGCACCATATCTATTTGTAAATAATAAGAAAAATAAACAAAAATTACAAATTTGCTGTAAAAAAACAGGTCACAGACACGTTCCGGAGATGTACATTCGGAAGTGTTCATCTTCAACACGTTCCAGAGGTACAGCTCCGGAAGCAACGTTACTTTTTTTCCAAAAGTTTGATGATTAATGTGAGCAATGTAGTGGACAAACTGCAATCTTTACCTAAAATTTGATCTTCTCTTACTCCCTTTGATTTGTTACACGAAAAAGTTAGAGTTTTGAAGTGAAAATGATATTGAGAATGTAGGATCTTTTAGGTTGGTGAAGGTGAGTGTGGAAGAAGAAAACACAACAATGGGGGGAGTGATCATGCAGGTTTCAAATATAGCAGAAACTTTCAGAGCTGTATCTACGATACAATCTTGCGCTTAGATGTTCCGGAGGTGCATCTACGTAAGTTTTTATGAACTGGATTATTTTGAAATTTTTCCAGTGTTTACCACTTTAAAATTGTTCCGTAGATGTACCTCTGAAAAACAAACCAAATTTTAGTAAAAGAAAAGTGTTCGGATATGAATCTCCGAAAGTAAAGAGCATAAAAGAAAATGTTTAAGTGTCTAAGAGTATCAAAGAATGGATTAAGAAATTTGTAACATTTTTTTAAAAAATTTTATAAATTCATTCTTGAATAGTTCCATTTTTTTATTATAAATACTTTTGACAAGTATTAAAAAATATAAATAATTATTGTACGTAAGTGAAAAATTAAGAATATTTTTATAAAGTTGTTTTTTATTAATGACATGAAAAATATAAATTTATATAATTAAAATGAAAGATAATAACAAACTATTAAAGATATAATAAAAAATAACATTAATTATTCATTAATAATATAAAATAACTTATATTGCAGTATAATTTTGTCTTTCAAAACGACTTATAATAAAAAAAAAAGGACTAATTATTATTTCTGAAATGAAATATAAGCAAAAGTAATAATTAAAAAATTCATACATCCCATTAAAAATCGAGAACAGATGCATCAACTTTTCAAATGCTTTTTACTTATACTTCATTCCGGAGGGAGAAAATAAATATCAATCTAAAACATATCTGAAAAGCATATATAAGTGTAAGAAAACTTAAGCATTATGACTCATTGGATCACAAGCATGGATGTTATTTACAGAGACATAGCCAATATCATGCGCAGATAGCTTCTTGCATTATTTAATTTCCACTAAGCAGAAGCAAAAAGATACTTACAAAAAAAAAATCAATCTTAAATTAAAAAATGTTAAACAAAGAATTAAGATAGCTGATATTTACTATGTGAACAACACAAACTACGTGGACGGCTTTCAAAAGATATCGAAAAGGTTAACATTCTTAGGATTGAGAAAACGGCAGGGTTTCCCTGGTCTTGTCTTCGAGCAATGGCGCGGTGGTTGTACTTGTCCCTACTACTCTTGATACTTGATGCTCACTTTCTTCATCAAATTTATCCACACTATGCAAGAATATTCCTGTGGTAGCAAAATATCATGATGAGAATGTGATGTTACATCAAAGAATTTAGTAAAGTGAATATTTTGTATAAGATCAATATGGTTCCATGAAACTTACCTATGAACCATATAGCAGCTGCTGGAAAAAATATTGTTGTTAAAATCAACGCGGTAGTTCTCCAGTTATTAATACTATCCTGTATATGCATAGAACCACAATCAGAATATTGTATGTGCATAATAGTGCGTAAAATTAGTAAAATTGTGTGACAAATACACCTAAAATGCTAACCTGGACAACTCCGACAAGAGGCGAGGAAGGTACGTCTCCAAAGATATGAATAGCAACGGTAGACATAGCCATTGATAGTGGCCTCAGACTTGGTTTAACAGAATGGAGACATACATAATTCACAGGACCCTGAAAAGAAAATTGTAACAATATAAGAATAATACAATGCAAAGGGAGCACAATTAAGCTTTTCGTGTTTTGACCAGGTATTACTATAAACAATCAAACATGAAGTTTTCTTCACATAGAGAAGGGAAGTACCTGAGTGGCAAAAACAAGTAGTTCGCCGATAGCAAAAAAAGCTAGGAAGCCATACATGCTTTTAAATACGAAGGCACCGAAACAAAATGCACCACCAACAAATGTTGTAAATGAGAGAAGCTGAAAAGAATTCAAGGTGGTTAGGATGGAGCAATGGAAATTATCTTAAGAGACTTAAAGAGGGAAATAAATTTATGTTAGATACAACTCGGGAAGATATTTCTGGAGAATTAACAGTTTAAAAAGTGTAAATCCAGTTACTCCTAATTTATATAAATCTTCAATGTGCTAAACGAATAAATAAATAAATAAAAAGAAAAAAAACAGCATTCGGAAATACACAAACATTTATGTAAATGATAATAAATTTGACACTCAAAACTCGTATACCAACCTTAAATGCATTTGATAGGGTGTTGGTCATGTAATCAAGAGCAAAGCCTCCTGCTAAAGTGCCCAATATTCCACATACAATTGTAATCCCTCCAAATATCATATCTGCATTAGTCTGACAAAGTAAAGGTGTTGTTAGTAAAATAATTTTATACCAAACAACATTATGTTTTACTAGCAAATTATCTTAAGGTATCGGGCATCATAAACTTATTTTAAACAAGTAACAATATATAAATGAAAGAAGGGTAAAATCTTATGCACACGCTTGGTCATTACATTAAATAAAGTCTCACCATGTTATATATACTATAACCAGCTTTGGGGCCCCAATACGAGTAAGCACCTATGACAAAGTTATATGCTATGTAACCTGCAAATAGGCATTCAGCAACAATTAAATGAAGAAACGTGGAAAAAACTATGATTGTAAAAAATAATGCATAAATAGCTAGAAGAGAATGGTATATGAAGTTTTAAGGAAGTAAGCTAGTCATATAGAAGCTTCTGAGATGAATTTAACACAGTTAAATATGGAGAAAACAGTTAATGCATACCTAGAACGTTGACGACGTAAACCTTTTCGGACAAAAGTGCTTTCATATCTTTCAGAAATATTGAGACCTGATTTAATACTTTGCATCTGCATTTTGGCCTATATGAGAGTCAACAAAAAATAAGTTTGTATAAATCAGTCACTTAGGGATGGATGCCACACGCTAGGAGTTACAAAAAATCAATAGTGGCAAAAGTTTTAGAACAATTGAGGGATAATCATTTTCAGCTAGAGGGAGAAATTGTGTCCTTAAAAAAAGCTGAGAAACATTGACAGGATAAATGTTTCTATAGGCACTATCATGGTGAATCAATCCTATACTCAATATAGAAACCACTTTGTAAATTAAGGTTAAAGGCAGTGTTCTCACTTGGAAGGTTCATGTGATTCATTGTTTCCATTTGAAGCCTCCACATCTGTCCATCAAATAAGAGAACTTTGTTAAGCCCAACAAAGAAATATTGCGAATCAGAAGTAAAAAAGTAAAACAGTTCAAAGCCCTGTTTACATTCAGAAAATAATTTCAGTTTTTTTCTAAAATATATGTTCATTTTAAATTATTAACAAGAAGACTGAAGATTCACATAGTGAACTATTATGATAGAGAGAAGATGGAAGAGAAGCTAGGAAGAATGAATTTCTAGAAACAATGAAAACCATGTTTTACCATTTTCAACATTTCTGTAATTGCTAGATCTATTTTCAAAAATTCTAAAAGAAAATTGTGAGAAAAGTATTGAGTCTATATTCTCTTATGTTTATTAGTTAGGGTGAAAATCAAAACATGAAATATGAGAAGCACATTTAGTAACTATGAGAATTACTACAATACTAGAGATAGGTATAGAAAAGAAAAATCATAATACTCCTAAAAAAGCAATACGACACAATAAAAAACCAGGTAAGAAACGAACTCAAAGGAGCACAAAGAAATAACACAAGTACATTTAGTAAAGATCTCAAGTAAAATTTCTTGGTTTTTGTTTGAGTAATGAAATATAAACTAGTGTAGCATATCCACCATTTAGTAACACAACATGCATATATATTTCTAATTTTAATTTATATTTCAAATGGGGTATATAATAAAATGCTGCCCAAATTATTCTAAAAATGTAATAGTACCTTGAACTCCCAAAGGAACTGTCTCCAGTGCCGACACTTTCTTTGAATCAGCAGGGACAAAACCTGTATCCACAAGTAGGAGATGAGAAACAATACCACGGAACCACAAAAAATCAATGTGAGATAAAACTGTGCAGCACCTTTCAACTGCAATGGCTTCATAACAAACCCCAAAATAGCAAATGGAAGCATCAATATAGCCTCCACCCAAAATGCATAACGCCAACCAAAATGGCTTCCAACCTGTTTATGAACAATAAAAAGATAAAATCAGCGGGAAATTCAAAAACAAATGAAACGACAAAGGAGGAGAAAAATGCCATTTCAAGTTTTCTGTAAACAAGCTACATACTCCCACTCTAGTTTTAATTACCTCCCCTGCTTAAGAGATATTGTATATGAAACGAAGTTAACTTTTAAAATTTTCAAAAAAATTTGGAAGACAACTATTAATGCTGTCATTCTTTTTTTTATCTTCTCTTGTATGTATTATTCCGGAACATGATAATGGTATTAAACTAAACAAAAACTTACCAAACCACCATAGACATAGCCAAGTGCATATCCCCCTGGTATACACATGTAAAATATTGAAAGCCACACTGTTTTCTGATACACACACCAGTATAAGAAAGGTCAGAAATATGAGCACAATCAGAAATCACGAGACAATTCTGAGGGAAAGAAACAAACCTGTGCAACTGGGGCATTATCATCAATGAAAGGTGCTGCGAGACTAATAAATGAAGCCTCACCAACACCAACGAGCCTAGAGAGAATAAGAAAAGAATAAGGGAAAAAAGTTAGAATAAAAGATGGTTCTTACATTTTGCACTATTATATAAGTAGTCAGTAAAAAACCGTAAGGCTTGAAAAATAACAGAAGAAAAGACTTACATGCGGCAGAATGTAATGGACCAGAAATCAAAAGAAAGGCCACAACATAGAGTTGCAATAGTCCAAACTGTCAATCCAACTCCAATAAGCCTAAAAGGGTTTACACTGCAAAATATAGCAATAACGTAACTATTAACATTTTTATTATAGATTAGATAACATGCACGTACTTGACACAGAAGGTCCAGAATTCTCATTATTGGCTTATTACATAGATACTTATGTTTGATTAAAAAAATAGGGCTGAGTAAGCTGATAAGACAATTCTCATCAGTGTAAGATGAAAATCATACTGAAGAATATTTCCTCAGCCCCTCTTAATCCTCTTATAAATTATGATATTGCTTTGTTTCTGTATTAATAAATTTAAATATCTATGAGATAATTGATTAGATTGATGGAGAAGGAGAAATATATATTTAAAATAACGCTTTCACACTATTTAACCCTCCCACCTCACAATGTGCCCTATCGCCAAGATAAAACCTATCCAGTACAGTAAGATACTACTTAATCCTGAAACAATTCGTCTTACTTATTTAAGATATCATAGTGGTAATACGTAACAGCAGCGTCAACTTAAACAGTCATTACCTCTTTGACAGAGATGCAAATATCGGAGAAGCCAGAAGAAGTCCAACCATAAAAGCAGATGATAGAACACCATCCTCAAAATTGTTCAAGTTAAAATCACCCCTACACACCGAACCAAGACAATTTTAAAATATTAACACAAAACAATTAGCATTCAATAATTCTGCAGTAGATCATAGTATAAAGTATTAATTAATTAATTAAAATTAAACCAAAACTTACTGTATTCCTGAACCAGACTTGCAGGTACCACCTGTGCATGTTTCACGGTGTCCATTAACACCATTGCTAGCTATAGCTCCACGGTCCAAATAATTCAGCATGTTAATCACACAAAATATAGCCAGTAACCTACACAACAAATTCATAAAACCATCAAATTTTCAAATTCCACTTAACCTATACCTACATTAGTCAAATATACCAATCATTAACAACAATTAATTTTTTTGGGGGGAAAACATAAAACATACCCTAAATTATATAAAAAGAAACCCAAAAATAATCAAAATTATCTTTCAACACGGATCTAGCATAAAGAAAAAGGGAAAGGGGGAATTAATTACCGCTTAGGCGTAAACCAAGAAGTTGCAGGAATCATGGTGGACTTGGTAGCCATGTCTTGCTCGACGGAAGGTACGGGAATAGAGGAAGAAGAAAGAGAAGAAGTTGCAGGGATGGGTTCAGGTTCAGGTTTTTGTGCCATGTGAAAAGAATAATATTATATTATATAGTTTTGATAATGACAGGTTTATTGAGAAAAAAAATAGAAAATCGAGGTGGAATGGTAGTTGAAGAATTGAAAGTAGGAATAGCCAGGTATAAAGAAGAACGCGCTGTGTTCTTCCTTCACCCAGCCTTAAGCTCTTTTCTTCTTCTTCTTGTTCTGGAAGTGATTATTATTCTTAAGAAAAAAACAGAATTGCGAAAATAGAATAGTGGTAAATAGGAATATGAATCATCAAGTTGGCGGAATTCGTTGTAACAACTAATTTCTGTCTTTTTTAGTCTTACTCACTATATTTTCTTGCTTTATATTCGGATTTATTTTAACGGTGAAGTGAGTTTGAATTTTGTTTGATACATGCGTGCAGCGTGCTTATCATTAACCTTATGATTTTTTAATAACTTATTTTTTATTTATCGACGTAATCACGAGAATACCGAATTATTAGTTTTATTTCAATCGTATCTTTCATTTTTATTCTTTGATTTGTATCTTACGTATTGTTTCTATCTAATTAAATAATTAAAATTTATTGTGATATAATCTCTATTTAAATTATAAATTGAACAGAGAATCAGCACAAACACTGTCTTTTTCAAAAAATAGAGATACCTAATCTTAAAATCTAATAATGTGGAGACAAATTTTCAACTTCAATTCAAAACTACGTCCTTTTTATATTCGTGTGATCAGTATTCGATAACCAATCTTGTATTGTGAAGTTTTGCTTGGAAAATTTTCCAACTTAGTTGAAAAAACAGTTAGACTTAAATGCGATTTTGATTTTCTATTGTGATGTTTTGAAATTTTCAATCCTCGTCTTAAAATTTGGATTTTTGTCCATTAACTTTTTTTCTAAAATATTTGTTGGACCCTTTCTAATTATTACAATGTGACATAAATGACTACGATATAAAACTACATTTTAATAACATGATTAAGATGATATATTAATTAATAACTTTAAAAAAATAAATTAATTATAAATAATTTTAATTAGGTTTTTAAAAAATAATAAATTTTAAAAGAAATTTCTTGAGCTGAAGCCCAATTCCTTGCGGGAGCGGTTCAATATACAAGAAATTTTACTCTATGCCCTTATTTATTCTCTTATCTCTAAATTATATATTTTTTAATTAAAGTTTTCTTATATAAATAATTTATTAAAAGTTAAAAAATATTATAAAAATTAATTATTGAAATTCTTTCGCAAAATTTTCTTATACACAAAAAAAAGTATAAAAAATAACTATTAAAATTTTTTTAAAATTTTTCGGTACACAAAAATTGATTAACAGAAATCTTTTGCAAAGTTTTTCGATACACAAAATAAAAGTTAAAACATAACTACCAAAACTTTTTTACAAAATTTTTCTGTATACAAAAATTGAATATCATAACTCTTCTGCAAACTCTTTCAGTACACAAAAAACAAAAAAAGACTAGCAGAACTCTTTTACGAAGTCTTCTAGTACACAAAAATTGGCTGTCTGAACACTTTTGCAATGTCTTCTGATATACACAATAAAAGTTAAACAAATGTTTAAAAAATATCTACCGGAACTCTTTTTCAAAGTCTTTCGGTACACATAAACGAACTAACAGAACTCTTTTGCAAAGTTTTTCGGCACACAAAAAATATAATAAAAATGACTACCGGAACTCATATGAAAAGTCTTCTGGTACACTAAAATTGATTACCGAAACTCTTTTGCAAATTCTTTCAGTGCACACACAAAAAAAGTGTTAAAAATTGCTTGAAAAATGAATACCTGAACTTTTTTGCAAAATCTTCCGGTATGCAAAATAAAAATTTAAAAATATTTTAAAAATAAAATAATAAATTAGTTAAAAATATATAAGGGTAAAATTGATATTTTTTTATAAAATATAGGAGTATAGGAATAAAAGTAACGGTACGAGGAAAAAACTTCAATATACATGTCGCACAAGACCATGTGTGAATGAGTTAGGGCTGGACAGTTGGTTGGTTTGCATTAATATATCATCCAAAACTTAAACTCGGCGTAACTGCAGTTTCGTTCTAAAGCCTCAATTTTAACAGATGAAATTTTGATTTTTAACAGATTCGATCAAATCAGTTTGACGGATAATTCAATTAAGTTTTGTCGGTTTAATATTTATTAGGCTAAACCCATAAAAATGACTCATTTTTTTATATCACAGACATTTATTTTTTTAATTAAAAAAACTATAAAAAAATTAAAATAGTTCAAAGAAGAATTATTTTTTATTATTGAAAAAAATATTATTGTGTGATAATATTTTTTATTTTATTTTTGTGAGTACACAATATCGCGTTATATTATAAAAATGATAATAATTTGAAAATATTATGAATTCCATTTTTATAATGGTCAACCCTATTATAATAAAAATAAATAAAATAAATATCAGTTGAGTTGGTTTTCGACAGGTCCAAAATAATCATCCAAGATAGATTAGATTAATCCTATACTACCCAAATTAAACTGCTAGATTAACTCGACACTTGTTTTGGTCCGACCTATTTGCACAAAACAAACGGTGCATCAATCGCTTTTAATCGAGCAGTTCAAATTTGTCCACCCTTATAATGAGTATTATAAACACTCATTTTAATTTTACACAAAATGACGTGGGACTTGTAGAAGCATGCTTCAGTCTCAAGTTTTGATGATGTCAATGCTACTCAAAGTCATCTCTTGATTGCAAAAAGACAAGCCGTTCAAAGTCATCAAGATAAAGTCATCAAGCTATCTTTCAAGTCAAGCTATATGGAACTGATTCTTCCAGACTTGCCTGCATTACTGGTATATCAAATCCACCTTTTTAATTTTGATATACAAGTGTTCAAAAACATCAATCTTTTGTGCATAATACATACACACATTTTTGAAACTTTAAAAATGGTATAACATTAATTTTAAAAAGCATTTTTCTGAAAATTAGCAGTGTTAACCGATTAACCATATGGGTTAACCGGTTAACCATTTTGAATTTTGAATTTTCTGGGCTAACGTACCAGTGTTAACCGATTAACCATATGGGTTAACCGATTAACACTGAATGTGCAGTGAAAAATTGCTTTGTTTTGAGTTCAAAATTATTTTTAAAATCATACCTTTTCATGGTTTGAATCTTTTAAAATCATACCTTTTGTGAAAGGTTATTTTACTAATATAAATTCTGAGTTTTTCATTTTGAAAAAAAAAACACCAACAAAAACCAATTCTCATTTTTAAAATTGTCTTAGAATCAAATTCATTTTTCAAAAGTGTTCATACTTGCATTGAAAATTTCACATTCATTGAACACTTGTATTGAAAAATTACAAAGAGTGAATTTTGATTCATTGAAGAAGATCACTTTGACAATTATACTCAATCCAAATTCATTACAATTATTGTATTTGACTTGTGATCCAGGATTGTTGGACACAAGGGTGAGTGTTTACAAGAGGATTGTTCTTGTACACTTGTGAGATTTTATTGTTTGATAGTAGGCCTCACCGGTTGATGGTGTGATAGGTTGTACTGTTTTAAACAATAGTGAAAATTCTCTTTCATGTTGAAAGGGGAGTGGAGTACTCTCGGATTGTGAGGGGAACCACTATAAATCCTGTGTCTTTCTCTCTTTCTTGACTTACTGCTTTCCATAACCAAGAACACCATCCAGTATATTTCCAAGAACCATATAAAAACCGGAAAAATTTCAAAAGTCCTAATTCACCCCCCCCCCCCCCCCCCCCTCTTAGGCATACTCTGTTCTTACAATTGGCATCAGAGCAGGTTAAGGTAACCTGTTCCTAACGATTCAGTATGGCTTCCGCAAGTACCAACCCGGTTTTCAAAGATGGTGGAAGTAGTAACAAACCACCACTCTTTTCTGGAGAATACTTTGATTTTTGGAAAATCCGTATGAAGGCACATCTTGAGGCTCAAGGAGATGGTATATGGGAAACCGTTGAAACTGGTCCACATGTTCCTACAAGTGTGGTAAATGGTGTTGGAACCCCAAAGATCAAATCCTCATATGATGAAGATGACAAGAAGAGGATCTTGAATGAGAAGAAAGCAATCAACATACTTCAAAGCGCTCTCAGTATGGATGAATTCTTCCGCATATCACAGTGTCAATCGGCAAAACAAATTTGGGATACCTTGGTAGAAACGCATGAAGGAACAGCAGAAGTAAAAAGATCAAGACTTAACACGTTAAGTCAAGAATATGAGATGTTCCGTATGCAGCCCGGTGAATCTATTGTTGCCTTGCAAAAGAGGTTCGTTCATCTGACAAATCACCTGATTGCTCTTGGGAAGACCTTCACCAATGATGATCTCAACTTAAAAGTCCTAAGATCCTTGACAAGAGAATGGCAACCAAAGGTGACCGCCATTTCGGAAAAGAAAAGTCTTTCAACGATGACATCCGCTTCATTATTCGGGAAACTTCAAGAGCATGAACTGGAACTTGGAAGGCTTGAGAAACATGAAAGTCAAGACAAGAAGTCCAAAGGAATTGCCTTGAAGACCGACACAAAGGATGACAAAATTGACGAATCTTCCGAAGACGAAAATTTCATGCTTCTAGTAAAGAAGCTTGGTAAGTTTTTCAATAATAATAAAACTTCTTCTTTTCCTAAAAAGAATAAACATTTCAGGAAAAAGGAAGCATCCACATCAAACCAAGAAATTACATGCTATGAATGTGGAAAACAAGGTCACATAAAGCCAGACTGCCCGAAACTCGCAAATAAAGGAAAATTCAAGGGCAAGAAGGATTTCAAAACAAAGAAGGCTTATGTCGCATGGGACGACAACGAAGTGAGTTCATCATCGGAATCAGATAGCGATGAATGTGCAAATATTGCCTTAATGGCCTCTCACCATTCCGATGACGAAAATGAGGTTAGTAGTAATTTTTCTGTCTATGATAATGATGCACAAGAAGTTATAGATGAACTTCTAAAAGAGTGC